TCTATGATTATTAACGCCAAAATTATGTCGAGTCAAATTAATAAATACAAGAGAAATTTAGCAGCAATCAAAATAGTCGCTTATTAATCAAGGTCGTGTTATATTTATGAAGATTATTTCTTGAATCCAATTATTTATACCAGGGAGGCATATTCACAAAATGAAACAGTTTGATATCATTTATGCAAAATATCAACAACAATCTACAAAATACAAACATAGGTATCAATTGACTGAATTGAATTCCACATACACTTTACACTATATTCTTTATAACCTTATTCCCCATCTTCTTTTTTCATGTTCCAGGTCAAAATATCATTCAGTTTTGTGAATGGTGTTGATTCATTTAGTTTACATTGACGATGCTCGCAAAATTTGGTGAACTGCCTCCATACGCTATTTTTACTCCTCACTGTATATTATGCGGGATTGTAGACTGGACCACACCACCATCATTTCTTCGCTTGTGGTTTTGCCAAAACGATTCATTTCAAAAACTTCAAAAACACGATTTTGACGTTTAAGTTAAGTGCTGTCAGATGCACAAGCTGTCATGCTGATAGTCGGCTATCGTGCACCATGCAAAATAGTCGCTAATGGAGGGTGTTGATTGGTTTCGTCAAACAGGAATCAAAAGTGTGATTGGTTGATAATTGACATTTAATAGACGAAGGAAATAATCACCAAAATCAAAGGTTATCACAGATTAGTTGGTGTAAACTACCTTTTGAACTGTCCACCGATGAAAGGGGTCTTGGCTTGCTTGCCTTTGGTCAACCCTTCTTTTTCTGTCTGCCTCTGCACCGTTTCCTCAGACAGAGACATAGTAGAGTTCAAGGTAGCGATGTTTTTCGCTTTGCTCCGCCGAGTCTCCCGTCTCCCTGTTGTCTGTTTCGGGAGGTGCAATGTAAGATTCTATAAGAGGTTGTACTTCTAAGTCACCGGCTTAGTTTATTAGCTTTCCGAAAGCAGGTCGAAGATATTGTTCAATTTTAAAGGGTGGTGTATTCCATTAACGTTCCTTTTTCCGTTTCTTCTTTAATAGTTTTTCTAAATTTTAGGGCATTGGACCCGGGCTTGGGGGGGGGTTTGGAGTGTCCACATTCTTTTAGCTTCCGGGTTCCTCGATAAGCCTGTCTACTACCTTGACCTCCAAATTTCAATAGAGCTGTAGACCGGGCATGTTGTCGTGTCCGCCTTTGCGGCCTTTTTTCCAATTTGGAACATTTCAATAGGATCTTACAAGTGACGCCTCGCGTGCTGGTTTTCTCCGCTACGGCCCTTTTATCGTATTTACAGTTTAGCTGCGAATGTCCAAATCTCTGGCAATCACAACATCTAAGCGGGTTTGGGATATACAGACGCATCTGTAAGAGATGAAACGCCGGCCGTTTTGGATTGTCCGTGGGAAGCTCCGATATTAAATTAAGTACGTGGTTTTGCAGTATGTACGTAAACATTCCTCCCCGTGTACTAATCCACTTTAGCGTCAATTTCACTTGACTCCTAAATTGGTCCTTTCAGTCATTCCATGAGGTACAAAGATCAACCTGCCAATTCAAACAAAACGACTCCCTTCGCCTTTTAACGTCTTTAACATGACCTACATGCCGTACAAAAAACCTTCCTTATCATGCTCGCTTTATCGGGAAGGGACTAACCATTATAAAATATCCTTCCTTTTAACGATCAAGAACCGGGACACATCCTTCTCATTAAGTACCGTACCCAAACATCCTCAGGGCAGACCAATGGAGACATCCTCTTCCATCGCACCTGAGACATTTGATGTTTGTTGTGCCGACATCGGCCATTAAAGGTCCCTTTTGTCGTATGGAACCAGCTAGAGTCCGCATGTAAGCACGTAAGTTTCAAAAAACTTCCCTTGCGTGAGCCGTTAGCGACTCAGTAACTCACAGCATCCATCTCTCAGCACACTCCCACCTGTCGGGGGAATTGGAACAGATTGTGGGTACTTCAGGACACGCGTTGGGGACTAGCCAGTCTCCTGTCCATTGCGTTTGCCTTTATACGACCTCCAGGTGAGAGTGGATTGATATCTACATCTATGACTTTTTTGTCGTAGCTTTATGATAGCTCTTGGTGGTTTTCTTATTACTTTTTAATTTTAATCGAACCCATAATCTCAAATTTTCTAAACTGGGTTTTAATCAGCGCACAAAATGACATAACTTCAAACTAATCGACAATACGATTCTCACCATCAATGTCACCATGGACGTTTTCACAAGTCATTTTCAAAGAAGGAGCAAACAATGGAAATGGGCTCGGAAATGGGTGTTTAAAAAATGATATTTTCAGAATTAAAGTCATGTACTTACTGTAAAAATAAGTGCAATGCAACTAAAGACAACAAAGTTCTCGTCAAAGATAATTTGCCTTCCATTTACTTAATCACATATCTGCTACTTTCAAGGGGTTATATACAGGCTGTCCATTATGAATGGAATATCGTATATATTTTGGTAAATATGAAATGTATACAAAATTTGTCTATATGAAAGTTGTTTAACATTTTATTTCCCATAATAAGGCAGCATTCAGTTGTTTTTATTTCAGAAAGCAGAGTAACGAAAAACAATTGAATTTTTTTAACTGGCAGTGCACCTTTTCATTACGCTCATTTGATAGTGATTTTTTTTCTCTTTTCGACGATATAACATGTTGGTACCCATTATCCTCGCCATTATCAAAAAAAATTATTATAATTTGATCAATAATATTAATCCAGATATACATGAAAATAAAACAATTGAACGTGAACGTTTCTTATTAAACCTTGAAAACAAAACGAAATTAGTAAAATGGCTTTCAGCGCAATGAATGTTCACCATTAACTATAAGGCAGTGACATACCCTATCACAAACAGTTTGAAATAAAAATCAATTTTTTATACACGGGTGCTAACGTGGTACGTCATCGAAAAGAGAAAAAAAATCTGTATCAAATGAGCCTAATGAATGAAGTTTGTATACACTCAATATTTACCGAGATATACAGTGCGTCCCAAATCGAGTGGGATTGCATGGGTAATTATTACAGATAGAGAATTGGTTAAATGGGCAATGTTTTGCAGTTTTGGATGCTTATTTAAAATTTCCTTATGGAAATTCAAAATGTCGCATAGGTTCGACGTAAATTCAAAAAAACTAAAATTGGTCATTTCCTTGAATGTCTTATATCATCGAAAGTATAAGAGATATAAAAAAAAGTTTTATATAAAAGTGTCTTTGATACGCTTAATTTAGAATTGATGTCAAACAAAATTCAAGATGGCCACTTTTGAGAAACATTTACCAACTTCCTAAAGTTAAATGGGCGCCATATTAGATTTTTAGAGTACTTGATAGATTTTTAAATCCTCTTTTCAACGAGCTATTATAACATAAGATTGAAAATAAGATACCAGTTATATTAACGGTTTTTGTATTTTAATCAAGTAGTCTGTGACGAATAAAAAAAAAACAAAACAAAATCTATTCGAGGCAACAAAACAATGAAAACAATTACACCAGATGTTTAAAATACTGGCCATTATTAGTGAAACACACTTCAAGACAGTTTAGTTTAGGCAACGTGTTGCCATTGATGATGATTATTATTATTGTAGTGGTAGCTACTTCCACTTTACTTTTATTTTTTAATTAAGTACTTACTTTTATAATTTAATGTACTGTACATAATTCGTGAATTGTGACCTGAGCAGCCAGTTTGTTGGTAGGTAGCATAAACTAACCCTTCCTTCGAAACATACGTTGTCGAGAAAAATCCTTTAAGGAAGTTTATTGGAGAATTTGTAAATAATGGTGAGCAGTTAAAGATCCATCGAAGATTACCGGTCCAATTACATGACTTCCCATTATGCCATAAAATACATTAATTTAAAAAAATATTACTTGATTTCGGCGTGAAACTACAACATGTAGGTTTTCCTGTGACGAGTAGTGTTCATAATGTCGATTTGAACACTTCGCAGTTAGAAAAATAAGATTCATCTGTCCATATACTTGGACTGGTAAAACTATTAGTTTCGATATTCTTGCGGATAAACCACCTACAAAATGTTACCTGGGACAATGCATCAATGGTAATACATTGTGTAAAATTAAGCAAAGTGTCTTGAAATGTCTTTAACTGGATAATGGCATGACTTTTTTCGAGGGGATAGTTTGTAGTTATACCACCATTTGTAGGTATGTAAGTATGGATAATAAGTCAATAAGTGATGTTATAAAAATCAAATTTTTCTAGACCGCTTATATAAAATTTTGGAGGGAGTTGTAATGCCCAAACCCCCCCTCTCATGAGTGCGTCCCTGATTTTTTTAAACATCTGATGTAATTATTTTCATTGTTTTGTTGCCTCGAATAGATTTTGTTTTGTTTTTTTTAATTCATCACAGCCTACTTGATTAAAATATAAAAACCGTTGATATAACTGGTATCTTATTTTTAATCTTATGTTATAATAGCTCGTTGAAAAGAGAATTTAAAAATCTATCAAGTAATCTAAAAATCCCATACGGCGCCTATTTAACTTTAGGAAGTTGGTAAATGTTCCTCAAAAGTAGCCATCTTGAATTTCAATTCTAAATTAAACGTATCAAAGACAGTAACTTTTATATAAAACTTTTTTTTATATCTCTTATACTTTCGATGATATAAGACATTCAAGGAAATGACCAATTTTAGTTTTTTTGAATTTACGTCGAACCTATGCGACATTTTGAATTTCCTAAAGGAAATTTTAAATAAGCATCTAAAACTGCAAAACATTGCCCATTTAACCAATTCTATATCCTTAATAATAACAAAGTTACCCATGCAATCCCACCCGATCTGGGACACACTGTATACTATATTCCATACATAATGGACACCCTGTATTATTTTACATATTACTATGGGAATGCAATTCAATGACCATTTCACGACAACACGTGATGGAATAAAAAAATAAATAAAATTCTACTAACCTGTATATCCCTGCGCGCATGAACACTGATAAGTATCCAACGATTTTAGAGAGCAAGTACCGCCGTTTAAGCATGGTTTTGAGTCGCACGAGTTTGCGATCGGAATTTCACAGAGAGACGCGCTAAACCCCAAAGGACACACGCATATGAATTTCGGAGGACCGCCGGGTAACACTCGCACTTGACACGAACCGCCGTTTTGGCAACGCGGACCGGGACCGGTATGACACGGATTCAGATGTTGGCAGTATTCACCGACGTATTTGGAAGTGCAACTGAAACAAAAGAAAAAATGCATTAGTAATTATTACTGACATTTGTTAAAAGTATATTGTTTTGGCCGAAGTGCCGAAGTGTATTGGACCCATCTTGGATTTAGGAGCCAAGTATGCGCCCTAATGAAAAAAATCGTTTCTCAGGTGACCAGATACGATTTTTTTTAGTAATTTCGATTTTTTAATTAAAAAAAATAAATTGAAATTTGAAGTAAGTAAACATAATTGACTCCATTATTCAATTGTGAAGAGTTTAAAAACTCATACCCGGTAAAGAATGAGGTACCTATAAAGTATCACTCTCACAGTCCCACGCAATGGAATTATTCTTAATTTTATAATGGAATACATTTTTGAAAAATGCGTCTCAGGTTGATAGTTAACTTAATAAAGTTTCGTTAACAACACCACCTAATGGGATATTAATTGGTCTTCTTTTATAAAAGCACGCCACACTTGTAATTACGGCTTGATCTATCTATAAAGCGAGACCTAATGGACTAATTGTTTAAATTGGCTCCTGTTCATTTAAACTCGAGATGGTGTCTGCGATATTTATTATAATGCACTTTCGAGATCGCAACTCTTATCGTCTCTTAACGGACACGTTCGATGTAAGTACCATCAACATCACCAACCTCTACGTCCGCCTTAATGACAGTGGTATAAAAACGAAAATTGCTATAATTAACAAAAAAAGTACCGTTGCAATCTTTGTGTCTTTGGAAAATTGGGAACAGAATTCCTAAATCGATGTGGGCGCAAGAATGCAAGGAAGAAGCTACAATGCGCTTTTCTGTACCAATTTCGACATTTTTCACAACCCTACGACGCATCCGCCACGACATTGCATGCCTGTGCAGACGATTGTTATTTGTCTTAGTCAGGAGCAATCATAATAATTTCAGAGGCAGAATATGTTGCCTTTTTGAGAAAAAAAATTCTACCGAAATTCTTAAAAGACCGCATGAGGAAATTGCTGCGCGTATGTAATTGGAAACAATATAGAACCACTTTTTTCACGCGCCACAAGGCTCTTTGTGGATTGGCTGACATTGCACTTTTGGAATACAAATATGTAATGATTCACAAGCCACAAAACATTCTCGTTTGTGAGCACCAATGAATGAATAAACAGTAGGTACAATTAAAATGTTTGTTGGCAATAAATACTGTCACTGGGATTCGAAAAAAAGATTAGCATGTCCTATTGGAATGGGCGAAACCCATTCAAAACGTAATCAGAAAAACATTCCTGTATAACAAAAGTAGTTTGCGCAGTTGTATGAAATCATAGATCGCCAAATCAGAGATGACCTAATATTTACAAAAGAAATGTTTTTCTGTTGCAAAAGTACCGTATGACGGTATGATTCTTCTAGATTTAAATAGGAGGTAATTTATCTCGCGTGCAACGAAAATTACAGTGCCTACATTATTTAGACAAACTGCATGGTGCGATGGTGTTATTGAAATTTTTATTTTCTTTCATACTTTACAGCGCGTGATCGACACATTATCAGCTAATAAGGAAAATTTACTTTCATTTACTACGTCCGCCTTCTTACCGTTTTGATTTATTGTCGATACCTACGATATATAATTACAATTATGATCTTAAAATGAATGTCCTATTTCTAGATGAGGAATAAATCACATTGTTGCTGATTGCAAAAACAAAATTAATTTTACTTATAGATTAAGAACAAGACGCAATTTTTAGTGCTAATAAATGCGTTATTCCGGCCTCCCCATGTCTTCGTCCGTCCGCCCATTCCTACTCTACAGCTCTCGTTTTGGCATTCGCAGTTATTTAAGCACCAATTTCTTTGGTAAAACGTTCAAACGTAATAAAATCTATCAATTTGATTGGAAAATTCCTACACTACGTATTACTTTTAAATACACTACAAATTGATATCATGCATTTTGATTAATAATTATACTATATAGTCAGTGGCGGCTCCTGAGATTGCAAGTTGGGTGGTCTGCACGAACCACAAGTAGTTTAAATTAATAATAATAATAGCCCGTTAATATAGAAATAGACAGTGAGTGTTTCGTACGTTCACTTAAAAAAAAGGTCAATCTATTCCAATAATCAGCAAAAATAAGTGGTGCTGTAAACAAACGAATAAATCTACACCTGTCAAATAAGTAAAAAAATTGCAATTTTAAAAATGATAGGAAGCGACTGAAGAGCTGTTTTATGTTGCAGCCCATTTTCACGTTATCGTGAAGACCTTCGGCTATGACGTATTTACTTCGTGAATTCATATATGGTACAGGGTGGTTCTAATTCGTGGCTCACCATTGGGATCTCCGTAATGGTAAGAGATACAGAGTAGGTTAAATGGGAGCAAAGTTGTTTTTTTCAGATACAGGGTGGCCCACTGAAAACAGTCAATGCCAATTTTGTTAACCACAGTGTTGCCAGAAACGCTCGGACATGTCAATTTTAGTTAGAGGGGGACACCTAAATTAGATAATACTACTTACATAACTTTAACCCTGAGAAGGGGGTGAATTGCACCCCACAAATTTTAAATGGGAAGGTGTGGTAAGCGTCAGGTAGTTCGAAAGGAATGTTCATTCTGTTTTCCAGCACTGTTTTTTATGTTTAAAATCCCATCAGTAGTTCCAGAGAAAACTCGATTTAAATGGATTTGCAGGGCCGTTTTAAATGTTTATTAAGTAGGCGTTGAAGAAATGAACCCTAAAGAGCATCTAAAAAAGCGGCAGAGCACCTCGATGTGACCCTACGGGGTCGTTGGATTTGACCCATTTTCACTTTTTCACTTGACTTGTTACATGTGGCATATGGGACAACTGTGCACGGTTTGGACCAAATCGGTCCAAGCATTTGACAGTTATCGTGTTCACGGACGGACGGACAGACGGACACCATCGACTCCCCTATAAAGCTTGCATCGCTTTTTTTCGCTGCCGCTTAATAATTGATAGCTTGTGTTAGAAAAGAGCATATGACACAACACTGTACATCAGCAGCTGTGTTTAATGAAGAACACGCAGATAAGCATGTTGGGAACACAACAAACAAAAACAGAAACAATTTCCACCCTTTCCGCTACAGCGTAAACCATTAACAAAATTAAACAAGTTACATTTAACACATTCACAAAGTCGCGTCCTTGTTTGTGCGCGAAAAGTTATAGCGTAAAAACTGCCCAAACCTCCAAAAAGAGTTTCTTTTATAATTCTTGTTACAAAGAACATATGAATGTCCGGTTTTCTGTGTTAGTAAATTGTCCTTAAACCTCAGGCAACTATGCAGACGAATAAACAAAATTGCACATGCGCAACCCAACTTTTGTTTTTGCGCAATCCCATTTTTTTTGTTTGTTAAGATATTTCAATGAAATATAATATGTATGTACTATGTAGGCACCTCAAATAAAAGTAAAACTAATGCAGATTCAAAAAATTTGTTTTACAGGCTATGCTGATCTGGTGGGAGAGAATCAACCCCTTAACGTCTGTTGTAAAAATGATGTGTGTCAAAATCTCGATTTCGATATTCAGTTGTATCGGATTTTTTCAACTTCAACGCCCACTTAATAAACATTTAAGACAGCTCTGCAAATCCAGTAATCGAGTTTGCTCTGGAACGGATTTGAAAAATAAAAACAGTGTGTACAGTTTTCAATAAAAGAATTATACGTTGTACTGTATTTTCCTTCGTAATAACTAAAGTGATAGGAAGTGTATCACTCAATACAGATTACAGTTCATTAATTACTTTATGGTGCATGAATCCACTTGGTCCTCACTTTTCCGCAAAAATTTGGTCATTCGAGCCGGATTTTCTAGCACATAGAAAACGCTTCCTATTTTTTTGTGACAGAAGGAAAATAAAAAAATATCATTGAGGCAACATTTTTTCCCACGTCCAGCATCTTACAATTCCATTTAATGATTGTGTTTCGTCATCATTGGTCATTGAATTGATTGAACAATTTTCTAGAATTATATTTGCACGTGCGAGTCTAATTCCGCCACATAATTTATCTCTTATTGCGTATCGCAAGCTGCAGTTAATTCGTATATTCACGTTCCAAATATTCGATTGTTGTTTAGGTACCTATCGCTTACGCTACATAAATAATACCTTTTTATCAAAATCATTGTCGTCTTTACTAAGATATGGTTGCTAAATTTAAACAATTTCAAGCGTTTCGTAAGATTGTGGTTATTATATTATTGATCTCGCATTGAATACCATTTATCATTTGTCGCAATTGGCTTTGGAAGATTCTGATCAAAAAGCATGTTATAAAGTATAAACAATTAGACGCATGTAAAGAAATTTTTCTGAAACTACTTTAAAAAAAACTACTGTCTCTAAAAAGGGTGAAGAAAATGTGATTTTCTTCTCTAGTGAAGAAAGTAAAAAACAATTGCCGCGATGATCTTAATGGTGACATTTCAAATTGAAGCATACCCGTATCTAGATTGCTGTGTCAAACTTCATTATTGCATACAATAATTTTTCAATTTTGATTCGTAGTTTCAGAAAAAAATATGTTTTAGCTGATAAACTTGATCAGTTGGAACAAAGATAGCCATGTTATCCTACTCAATTTAAGACACCCTGTATAGTGATTGTGGTACCAATTTTTGTAGGTACGCACTGCGAATTTAACCACATGAAAAAACATTTTCTAATTTGGTTGGATTTTGGTTCAAGTTTATTTTCACATAAACAATATCGGACCAACCCTTGTTGAAGGCCTTTGCACACACATTCAAATCCACACATCCGCCTCAATTTTAATATTTATTTATACATAATTATTCACGGATGGGACCGGCGTTTGTGGTAGGCTCCCGCGCTTATAAGACAGCTTCCATCCGCCCCTGATTATTAAAGTTTAAGGATATTTCTAATTAAAACAATTATAAGCCAGGTAACACTAACACTATTTGGTCGACAGCAAAAAAAAAGCCGGAATTAATAACATAGGCATGCGCTTGGGAAT